CAAGGTGAAGAAAAGTGATGAGTGTCCATTGCTTGCATGCAAATAAACTACAGTCACCTGTTCAGGGCTCAAACCCTGCCCTGCTGATCTGGTGACCAGTGGGCTAATCAATGGCCATTCCACCATCCTGTCTTACACAAGGGAAAAATTTCATTTTAAATCAGAAGGATACTACTGACCTCATATGACAAATTAAAGGTTCCCCAATGAATGCCAAGAGAGAAGTTTGACCGGACATCTTCATGTATCTCAACTGCTTCTTGAGGATCAACATGTTGGAACTGCATAAGCCCTCTTTTAAGAAAGCAAAAGTCCAACTTTATACTTTCAATATCAATAACTGAGCAAAACTTAGTAAACAGGATTGTTCAGAACAAACATTTCAACATAGTAAATCAAGTACTGTCAGTGGTAAAATACTGATTTAAATATTTAACAAAATCTTTGCAAAAGGGCTTTCCTTGAAGTGATATTCGTAAATGTGAGCTGGTGTATTTTCTATGCCCCTCAGGTGTTTCAGATTTGACTCAAATAATTTGGCACAAACTTCACTGTAGAGGTGTGTGACACTTAAAACAGTGTGCTGCAATTCGTGTTGGTTTTGCCTTCCTAATAAAAAAATAAGCATTTTAAAGGTTTTACCCCATACCTTGGTGCATACGCTCCAATAGGTATGGCTGCCAGATCAAATGGACCATATCGCTTGCCTATTTGTTTAAATATGTGACAGTAACCAGTGTCACCGGCAAAGAAAAATCTGTGTTGTGGACCTATGATTGACCAACTTCCCCAAAGAACCTTGTTGTTGTCATTTATTCCTCTGCGACACCAGTGTTGTGCTGGAGTAAAAGCAAACTTGACTGCTTTGTCCTGATCTGTGAATTTTGGATGAAAATGTTCATTCCACCACTGAAGTTCTACAACATTTTCACAGCCACAGTCTGACATCCATTTATGAAGCCCCATTGGCACATACCAATGGATTTTGTTACCAAACTTCTTGTTTAGATCACAGACAGTTGTGTGATCAAGATGATCATAATGGTTATGGCTGATACACACAGCATCAATGTCTGGAAGTTCATCCACAGTGCAAGGGAGGGGACGATACCGTTTCACGCCTACCATGCGAGTCATTCCACAGTAGCTGTTAAAGACTGGGTCTGTGAGAATATTGAGACCGTCCATCTGTACCAGGACAGTGGCATGACCAATCCAGGTGACTTGAAGACCATCAGGTGGAGGAGAATTTAAAGCAGCTTTGTTTGGAGACAGAACTGGTAGATTGGTGTTTAATTCCTATAAAGAGTAAAACAAAGTGTCCTATATATCACATTTAGAGTTAAGGTAGGACTAAGTAGGATCTTAACTGATTGCTGTTTTAGTTATAGCGGGAAAATAAAAGTTTATCAACACACAAGGTGACACATGAAGGTAAGCAGGGTAATGTTACATTTGTAAGCAAACTAAATGGCCCATCCAGCCAGAGTTAATCCTGGTTTCTGTAACATGAAGTGACTAGGAGTAATACTCCCTCCTGGAAGGAATGCCAGCTTATCACAAGGTTACCCCCCACATTTCATCAGGCTTCCCTAATAATTTGCCTGTACCCGTTTCTGTGAAGAGAGGCACTGTGGGAGTAAAGTGTTTTGTTCAAGAATGCAATACAATGACCCTGCCAGCTCTTGAGCTTGGAACTTGCAAACCAGAATCCAGTGCATTAACACTTTACTCCCTTGCATCAGTATGCATATTCTCCATACTACTCTCTAGACATTTCCCAAGGTTCTAACAAGGAGAATTTGTTCAACAATTGAGAGCCACTTTAGTTGGTGATCATCTCTTATATTCTCATGACCTTAATGTTTGATTTAGGGGTGATGTGCTAAGGAGAAATTAGATGTTAGTCACTCTTGGGGGTTAAAGGGTTAACCTTGAGGCCATAGCATCTCTACAGGTAAGGCATATAACAAGTAGTATAGTGACTGTGGTAGTCTAGTGATTGACATGTTGGAGTTGGGATCCAAAGGTCCCTGATGAACTGCCTGTCAGGTTGTTATGGTTGCATTCCTAGACAAGACACTTTACTTTTACACAACCTCTCTCCATCAATGGATGTAAAAGGGTGTACAGAAATTGTTTGGGAATGTGAAAAAATGCTGGGGGAGGTTACCTTTGATGGATCAGTATCCCATCCTGAAAAGGCATTGATGCTTTTAGTTGCTTTACATTAGTGATTTAGGATGAGCTCACTGAACTTGTCATATTTGTCATCAACTGAAGGTTAATCCACCCCTTGCCCCATCTCCCCTCAGTTTTTTATCCCTGAAAATGTTATCCTTGACAATGTGCAAATACTCAATCATTCCAGGGGTGGTAAGTGACACTTTCAGAGCTAATTGTTTCCCCTGGAACATGATGCAAACAGTCAACCAGGTGGAGTGCCGCATCCTGCCCACTAAGAAATCATGTTATCATGTTACTAGTGTTTGTTTTTAAATTAATCATATAAAAATTGTCACCGAAGAAAAAATCACTTCAATTCAAAGGAGCTGGACAATTCACCTCATTGTCATAATTATAGAAACTTGAAACCATGAATCCTGGTAAACCACTTCTGTTTGTTGAAGTCATGAACCATTTCAGTGCTGTTAGTCCTGATGGATTTGTTCCTCCCCAAGGTATTTTAAAGATTCCATTTTCTCTTACAGCTTTGGGGTATTCCTCATTTCCTACAACCTTGTCATCTTGTTTTTCTAGCTGTGAGCCCATAGTTTGAAGCTGTTCAAGGGGGAAATAAAGAGATTTAAAAATAAAGAAGGGTAACATCAGCCAAGCCAAATCTATGATTTGTTGCATTAAGAAAGAATCACAATGAACTGAGAGTTTTCCTGAACAAAAGGATTTCTACCATTTTGCAATTAGTCAGGTAATGTTATTTTAACCCTTCAGGATAGGATACAGTTTTCATAATTTAATCAATATGCATTAAATTCTTTATGCTGTACTCTAAACAATTACTAAGGAGCTGATAAGTGGAATTTGTTTTAACCATCAATAGATTCTTAAGTTGGTGATCATTTCCTTTATTCTCAAGACTTAAATGTTTCATTCAGTGGTGATACTGTTGGGAGAAGTTCAAAGCTAGTCACTCTTAGGGGTTAAAGCATTAAGGAAGGTGATGACTGGAGAATTGTAAGTGAAAAGTTGGAGAATATTCTCCATTCTCCACTTCTGGATGGAAAAAAAAGCTCAGGACATGGAAATTCAGTATGTCAATTCTGCATAATAGCAGAATTCTCTAATCTGTGAAGCATTATGAACACCCTTGGGTGAAGGGATATTCAGTCACAAGTCTCCCTTTGGATTGTCAGGATTCCACTGACAACAGTTTATCAGTACCCATCTATACTCTTGGATGAAGAAAGGCACTGTTACAGTAATGGATGTTTCCAAAGAAGACAAAAAAGTAACACTGCCAAAACTTGAATTTCAGCCATTACAACGCAAGGTTTAAGGGTGGACCTGTTGTAACCAAGAGCCCATTAGTAACAGGCTCCTGCCCTGACTCATTTCTAAAGCACTGGCAGACAACACAGTTAACATGGGAATGTAAGACCCCTGCAAGGCACAATGCATGATAGAAAAAATGACAGAGGATGACTCAGAAACCTTCAGGGAGTGGTCAACCCTCCTACTTCAGAGTGAACCAACATAGGCATCTGTTTTGACGTAGAAGGAAACACATGTTCGGATAACAACGATTATTTCTAGAATACAACTGGTTTCAAATAAAAAAAGGAAGAAATATGTGGCTTGAAACCGTAAAAGGTTATGTAAGTGTAAATTTACGTCATCAGAACTAGTTATAAGACCGAATATGAAATTAATTCATTTTCTATACACCAGCTTTGCTGAATACATTCACTCTCTTTGTAAAAACCTGTGAGAACAGCTCTTCACGTAAAATTAAATGCAAAATTAGATTTCAGAGACAAGAGAAAGAAACCAGAGCGAAATAGATGAATCCCAATTTTTTAAAGTTTTTTTTCCACAGACGAAGACATGAAAACATATGAAAACAGAAAAATAATAAAATGTTACCTTTATCGATTGAGTTTTAGAAGCTTAACTTCCAAAGATTTACTAGATCAAGCCCAGTGTAAATGAAACTCGAAGAAAAGTCGAGATAGGCGTAAATCCTGCTTCGTTCAACACTTCCGCTTTCAATTGTGCCGGGTACAGTTAATAATAATATGTAGCCGCTGAAACGTCACGCCTCAGCAGTGAAGGAACGCCTCAACATAAAGGATGTTTTTCTAGAATGCTTTGCGCGCCTAGTAATCGACGATGTGTGTTTTCCAACCCTCCCACGCACTTTCCGCCAATGATTTGTTATTTTTGGTGCAGGAATATCCTGATGTAGAAAAATTCCAATATTTTTACTGATGTTCCGGTCGAAATGTGAGATATTTCGACCGTGAGTCGCTCCGAGGATCAAGCAAACGAATTCATCCATAGTATGTTTTAGGCTCCTCACCCATGAAAATGTTTAGATTAGTTGTTAATTTGAATATTTTTGGTAACTTCCATCAACTTTCGTGTCACATTCTGTATCATCCTGACTTTCTTGAGGTCAGCTAATGAGCTTCCTAACACGTAAGGTAGATCTTGCAGATATCGAGGTTCTATGTAAATTTTGTAATATTTTCTTAGTTGGCAGACAACAGTACCAATTTATTATAAATGAAATCCTACACATATCTAAACCGTTTACTCCCATAAGTGACAAAGCTATTTATTGGATAACACAGATTCATCTCCAACAAATGAAATAAAATCTTTATTCTTCATAGTGCATTTTTCATACAAATTTACATAATTTTTTTCTTGGACCTTAATTAAGATGCCAAAATAATAATGATAAAAATTACAGTTAAGCAATATGTTTATTTTGTTGTAGTTTAAAAGCCTTAGGACATTGGGTCAAAGTAATTTAAAATTAGCTAGTTTTGTATTTCCTTTGTTTACAATATGGCCATGGTACTTTAACTGGAACAAAGTTAAATTAACTTATCTGTTTTTTTTTTTTGAGCCAGTTGTTGTAAATTGTTGTTATTTTATATGTGATGGAAAATAAAAATAAATTCAATGAACTAAAAAAATCTGGAACAAAGGAAAAGGCAGAGTTAACTAATTTAAAATTATTATGACCCCAAAATTCATCATGAATATCAAAATTTATTCTGTAAGCAATTTTGTTTAGACTGGGTCTTTACTGAAGGTTTCAATCCTCCAGTTTTAAGCAGAAATTTCCCAGTACCCTTTTCAATTGTGGTTGTCATTTTTTCATTTTATGACTCTGGTTTCTCCATGTTTCATGGTAAAGAAGCTGTCTTCTGGTATTTCTTTTTCCTTGAGTGCTTCACTAAGATCTTTAGGTGGATCCATATAATGCTACAAAGTAAGTAAAAGAAAATGGAATAACAAATTAATCTGTAATTAACCAAAAATGGTTCTTATAACATCTACTGTAACTGTGTCTGTTGTGGTGACTTATTGATCTCCATTTTCTGAAGTGAAAACAAGACTTAGTGCCGCTGTTTAATTTGACAATGGCTGCAAGAAAGATGTTCTCAGATAGCTACTTAGAAGCACAACAGAATTTGAAAACATTATTTCTAAGAAGTGACACACACTTGAACACAAAAAAGGGAATATCTGCAAAAATTGCAGAAATTCTTAACAGTGGAATTATCAAATTGGCACAAACTCCTCTGTTACACTCAGTAAATTTATTTCAGAAATGATTCCCTACTTTTTATTAGCCTTTGAACTCTAGAGTGATGATTATGAAGTAAATTCTCCTTACAAAATCAGTACATTTTATGCAAAAGGATTGTGAGAAAACAAAAACCAATAAAAGTTGGAGGAAGTTAGCTTAATAGAGTACAGGTGCTGGGAAAGACTGGAAACTTTCCAATTCTGACAAACGACAACTTTAACATAAGTAGCACTTCCAATGTCTATAACTGATAAAGCAAAACAGCTCTCTAGTTAAACTGTTGATGTGTGAATGTCAAATAACTTACACATTTAACCTTTTAAGGGTAGGGAGAGATCAAACGCTTAATGGTCTCTTTACAATTCTTCCCAGACAAGTACAACTCAGGCATTAAAAATGGGAATGAATGTATTGGACTCAGAAGAGAGAATTTCAACTGAGATCCTAGAAGATAGAAGAATTAAAATGATGTATCAATACCTCTTTTCCGGTGGGAAATGTTCCCCAATGAATTCCTAAGGAACAGTGAGATTGAACATCTTCATGAATACAAACAGCTTCTTTTGGATCAACATGTGCAAATTGTGCAAACCATCTGCAAAAAAGTTAAAATTATGAAAAATATTCAAGAAATTAGCACCACAACAGACATTCAATTGAAAGTTGTAAACTACAGCAATAAGAAAATGGCTGGAAAATGGGATCTGAACAAAGTTTGGGATGCCAAATGGGATTTACACCCCCTCCCATTCCCCTTCAGAACCCAGTCTTCTTAATGTACTCCTTTTTAGAGAGAGGCAATGTGAACAGAGCTATGTCTTTCCCATTAGAGTACAAAGAGACTTTCCCAACCTTGGCTTGTAGGCACCAATTGGTATTGCTGCAAAATCAAATGGTCCAAAGCGTTTTCCAATCTGCTTGAATCCTTTACAGTAACCAGTATCACCAGCAAAGAAGAATCTGTGCTTAGACCCTAGGATGGTCCAACTTCCCCATAACACCTGGTTTTTATCTGTGGCTGAGCGACGACACCAATGTTGTGTTGGGGTGAAGACAAACTTAACAGTGCTGTGGCTTTGAATTTCTGCATCAGTTTTCTTTGAAAGCTCTGCCTCTTCCCACCATTCAAGTTCTACAGCATTTTTACAGCCGCAGCTTGCCATCCATGATTTTAGCCCATTAGGAACATACCACTTAAGCTGATCTCCAAACCTCTGATGAAGTTCTTTGACAGTTTTTACATCAAGATGGTCGTAGTGGTCATGACTGATACATACTGCGTCGATTCTAGGTAGTTCATTTACATTACAGGGAGCAGGTCTATAGCGTGTCATGCTGAATAATTGTGTGGGTCCACAGTAGCTGTTGAGAATGGGGTCAGCTAAAATATTAAAACCATCCATTTGAACAAGAACACTGGCATGTCCAAGCCACGTCACTTGAATATTATCTGAAGGAGGTGATGATAAAACTGTACTGTCGAGGGTCAGGACAGGAAGGTTTTGCTCCAGTTCCTGTTTGAAAAATGTTGAAATGAAACAAAAAGAAATCAGTGATAATAATAACAATGACAAAAACGATACTAATGATAAGGATAATAAAAAAATTTCAATAGTTTGACTAGAGGAGATTTCTGTATTAATTAAACCCTTATCTACTCTATTCCAATTCAAAGTAGTCCTCAACCCTTTAACTCCCAGAAGTGATTCATATGTAACTTCTCCCTAAAATATCCATACATTGTCCAGCAAAAATGTAATGAGAATACTTGAACTTATCAGGTAGAGGTTGTTATCTTGATGTAACAACAAATTCTTGTAACTTATTTACAAGGAAATGTGAAGCAGCTAGAGGGGAGAATTGACAATCAGATATTTGGTCAGTTATCTTGATGTAACAACAAATTCTTGTAACTTATTTACAAGGAAACGTGAAGCAGCTAGAGGCGAGAATTGACAATCAGATCTTGGGTCAGTTAAAGGGTTGAAGCACTCAATGGTTTTCTTTTATCCAGTTACTGTGTGTATGATGAAGTATGGGGTAATATTCGGAGATCTTGGCGACAAGGGATGTGATCAGTTATTGAGATGAATACACTTAGTGACTCATTACGTAATTTAAATTAGTATCAAATATTACTACAACTATTTCGTCCACCTTCTACTAAACAAGTTTATGTTTTTAACATGTTTGTCACGATGAAAGTTTATTACTTAGAACAACGATAGATGGATGAGCATTACTATTTTTAGAAAATACCTCAGTGTTCAAACGAAACAGTTCCTTCCAGCTTCCACGAACTCCTCGTTCATTTTTCTCAGTCATCTTCCACCTAAGAACCTCAAACAATGATGGCATATGAGCGGTACCCCAAGGATCAACATAACGACCATTTACTTGTACTGCTCTTTGTAAGGTTTCTGATTCTTTTTCCAGTTCGACTTTGTCATCAAAAAACTGATCGACACTGCTCTTCCCCATCGCCATGTTTACTTCGCATGACC